TGATGAGGTAGCTGCCGTGAAAGCCTCACAGAGAGACTCAAATCTCCAAACTGTTCTTTGGCCTGGCTCCAGGTCCCAGCGGACCTCTGAAGCATTTCCCATCATCCTCTTGGAAGCACTGCCCCAGAAGTCCTGTGGAAGTTATTTCTCACACCAGTTCATGTGCTGTTGGTGTGACTGTGATCAGGTGTCTGAGTCATTTCGCAAGCCCGAGACTCACAGGTGTTACGAACAATAAAACAGCTTCCAGAAGAGGAAGCTGACACGAATTGCCTTTCAGGAGCTTGATTTTATTAGGGGAGTTTTAGACTCATGGCCATAGGCAGCCATAAGGAGGCTGCGAAGTCAGAGAGCATTGGGAGAAACAGACACCGCGTAGAGATAGCATGAAGGGGGTCCTAGAGGGAAAGACCCTTCAAAACCCTCCAGTTCTGGTTATCAGGAGAGTTTGTAAGCTAGGGGGTGCCACTGGATCCTGAAGGAGGTTGGAAGACGCTTCGGCACCAGGGAACAGAGGGGTGTGTGTGTTTTGCTTTTACAGAATTTGTTTTGTGGCAGAGGATACACTCTACACCACAGGACCTAAGCTTACATGCTAGAAGTCAGGAAGCCACTGGTAAAGACTAGATACGACCCCAGCCTGACTCGTGTTTGGGCATTTGGGAGGGAGGCAGGTCATGGCAGTCCCTGGCTGCCTTGCTGGGTTGTGTGGCCTGAGTTTCCAGTGAGAGAGCCCAAGCTAGAGGACCCCTGAGCTAACAGGAGGGGCAGGACATAAGCGCTGCCCAAAGCCTCTGAACGCTGCTCCCTGTCCCGGGCTGAAGGCTTAGTGGGCCACCTGTGTGTGGGGTGAGAATTTCTGTGCTCAAAGTCTCCACTTTCTCACTTCCAGTTTCTCATTCTCTTTAGAAGCAGCCATTCCCGCAGACTTGGCCTCCTTCCATGCTAGCCTCCCCAGTGCTCTGCCACCTCTCTGTCCAGCACAGAGTGTGGACTGTTTCACAGCTGTGCTGCCTTTCTCTCACCGCAGGAGACAGGTGTCAGAGCCAAGAGCACATGCCACCTGCTTGCAGCCACTGACAGAGGGTGAGAGCTGGCGGACCATGGCAGAGGCAGCATTTGCCCCTGGTCTGCAGGAAAACTCCAGGGATCTGCTATTAAAGTCAGCTACCCTGTGTTCTTCCTTCTGTCTCCATCCCTTTGTTCAGCAAATTTCCCAGAATGCTGCGATTCCAGGATGGGACGCTGGGGATGTACCCTACCAGAGATGGGGTGGTATCTGAGATGGAGGTCACTGGAACCCCAGAGGGCAGTACCATCCCAGCCTCACTGTCCCCCTTCCTGCCACATAGCTTACCAGAGATGGAAACTTCCCAAAGCTCCTATTACAGCTTTCTGCTACCCCCAGGCCCACTTACCACACTCTGGTGTTTCTGTTACTTCTTCCCTAAGGGCCCTAACAGAAGTGGAGCTGATTCCATGGGCTCTCTGAAACAGCCATAGTTAGTGCAATGGGGAGAACTCAGAACTGACCAGCAAGTGGCCTCTGACTGAAAGAGGAAAAGCTCTTGTCAGTGGACAAGTGGTGAGAGCTGGCAGCCCACAGGAGAGCCTGGCAGTTGCTGCTGGTCCCCATGGCATGAAGGCATCGAGGGTTGGCAGTGGGCGGAGGATGGGCCACCTTAGCAGCAGATGGAGGGAGATGAGGGGCATCAAACCCGTGGGAATGGCTGCTTGTGAAGAGAGAAAGCGAGACCCCAAAGCACAGCAATTCTCACGCCACACACTGCGCTGAAACTCCTGGAGTGACTTTACTGAGAGACCGTCTGATGGCTCGTAAAGAGGAGTTTGAAACTGAGCCAGAGACTGATTCTGTGGACGTTAAAGAACTCCTGCACACCCCTGTGTGGGTAGTCCCGTGGGAGTCAGAGGCCACAGGCGCAGCCAAGGGGCAGAGTGTGTGCCCTGTGCACACGGGTTTATACCCAGCCCTGTGACATAAGAAGGGGGAAGAGGACAAGCTGGTTTGTGAAGCACCGGATCCCCATAGTACAGCACTAGTCTCTAGGTGAGGTGGCTCTGCAGAGCCCTCCATCGTTATGGTCTGTGCAGCCTTCGTGGAGACACTGGAGAATATGTATATCTGTGACCTTATCCCAGTCCATAAAGGTTGAAGGGCAGGATGAGAGTAGAAGAGTGATGAGTATTTCTAGTTGACGTTGAACTACGAGCTCAGGTGATCCTCCTGCCTCAAGTTTACAAGCTGCTGGGATTGCAGGCAGGTGCTAGTGTGGTCAGCACTTTTCTTTTTCTTTTTTCTTTCTTTCTTTCTTTTTTTTTTTTTATCTTGGGTTGTGGTTTCTAGCCATGAAGTGGAACAAGTAGATAAAAGGATAAAAGTGATGAGTTAATAACTGTTGAAAGAGCAGAACCAGGGTGTGGTTTGTGCTTTGATTCCTGGTTACCCCAATACCAGGCAGCTTCCTCTGCTCTCCACCCCTCCCCCACAGGCTGGCCACCTCACCTCTCTGCATTTTAGTTGGTTTTTGTTTCTCCCTCTGCATGCTAGGAGAAGATGCCCATGTCCTCAGCAATGCATTCTGTGTTTCTCTGCCCTCATCAATACTTAAGACTTGAAGTAAAACAACCCTAGGCTGAATGCTATGGAGCTGGCAGAGGGATCTGTGTCTGAAAGGCCAGCAAAAGATTTAAGGACCTCAGCTCATCTATAGGACAAAGAAATTTGTCACCCAAGGATGGTCCATTTTCTTTTCTGGTTATCTACTGGGAAATGAAATAATTAGTTCCTAAAAGCCAAAATGATTTCAAAGTCATTTCAGCCTTGGAACAAAGCATTTTTCATCGATAAAATACTAAAATTGCTTTAGGGACACACACCATGTGTGCCTGATGAGTTTAACTGTAGTCTCCATACAACCTAGAATCACCTGGGAAGAGTGTTCGAAAGGAGTTATCTAGACGGGATTGGCCCATGGGTATGTGTGTGGGGTGTCTTGTTAGGTGTCAAGACCCATCCTGAATGTGGGTGGCAGCAGTTCATGAATGGGGGGTCCCCTCAAACTGTATAAAAAAGCAAGAGAGCAGAGAGACAGCAGGGAAGCGTGCATTCCTTCTTTCCTGCCCCTGACTGCGGCTGTGGCTTTCCTTCATGGACGTCTCACAATGACGGGCTGTGACCTGGAGCTGCAAACTGAAATACACCTGTTCTTCCCGAAGTTTCTTTTGGTTAGGCCTCGTACTTTATCACAGCAACAGAAATTAAACCAGGACACCATGAAAATGGGGGCACAGTCTGTCCCCACTTTCTTAGTGGTTCTCAAGACAAAACAAACAAAAATACTCAAAATTATTAAAGCTAGGAGTTATGTTTCAAATACTGGGCTGGGGAGCTGGTTCGGGTAGCAAAGCACTTGCCAGGCGAGTACAAAGACTAGTTCAATGCCCAAAACCTATGTTAAAAAAAAAAAAGCATAGTGGTGCATGCTTTTAATCCCAGTGCCTGTAGAGGTAGGAGAACCGGGACCCTTGGCCTGCCAGTCTAGCTACTCTGAGACACTGAGAGTTTTTGTTTTAAAAAGAAAAAAAAAATAATGACCAAAGAATATGCTGGAGGCTGTCCTCTGGCCCCCACTCACACACACACACACACACACACACACACACACACACACACACACACACACACTATAAAACGGCAAGAAAGGCATTGCTTATAGCTCACTAACGATTCAACCTCCAAACCACGCATCAGGGTTGAACATGTCTGTATTTTGACATTTGCATCAACAACTTTTGTAATGAGGTTTATGCTTCCACATCTCTGGAACATATTTGCCATCTGCTTATGCAGCACTTTAAGAACTAGAGTGCCGTGAGCTTCTATAATGAGGAAGGAGAGACTCACTCTTTCTATGATTAACTTTGGGTACAGCTACTTTAGGGTTAGCCTGAGAAGCTGGGTGTGGTGATACACACCATTAGTCCCAGCACTCCCGGAGACAGAGGCAGACAAATCGCTGTGACTGAGTTTGAGGCCAGCTTAGTCTACAAATTGAGTCCAGAGCCAGGCACGGTGACACAGGCATGTAATCCTAGCTGTTTGTAGAACTGAAGCAGGAGGATTGCCACATTTAAGACCTGCCTGGATACTTTAGTGAGACCCTCTCTCTAAATGAAAGATGCAGGAAGGCATTGGAATATAGCACAGAGGTAGCATACTTGCAGAGCATTATCTGAGACCCTAAGTTCAATTTCCAATTTAAATAAACAACAACAAAAAAATCCACTTGGTCTCAGAGGCCAGCATGCTTCCCGCTGTTCAGAGGTTAACTTGAAGCTCTTGGTGACTAGAATCTTCAGCTCCGTTTCAGAACTGGAAGAAAAGCACTTTCAACTACAGACAAGCCAAGTTTACCATCATGGGATGAATGTCAAACTGTGCTGGAGTCTGAGGAAGCCAGAGCCTAACCTGGAATAGAATCCCAGCATTGCCTCCTCAGGCTCCACAGGGGGAACCACAGGGGACCACTTCCATTTCTGGAAGCAAGCTCAAGGTATTCCACTTTTCTGTAGCAAGCGCAGGCATTCCACTTCCTACTTGGTTCCTGTCCCTGCATCCCCCTCCAGGCTGCTGTTCCAGTTTATGGATGTTCACCCTTGCCTTTCCCCTGCACAGTCTAGTGCTTGCTGGGAAGATAAAAATGGAAACAGATACAGGATCTTCGTGACTTGCCACCAGCAATAGTTACAGTAGGCTTTTGTTGGTTTGTTGGTTTCCCAGGTTATGTCCTTGCTTTGTGCTGTGGTGCTAGGGCTCACTAGGTCTGTGACCCCTTCGTGAACATTTCTGAATTTGTTTACATTCATACACATCCAGCATTCTCCACAATTGATTGTGTGGAACTCCAGCCTGGGGAGACAAGAGTCACAATGTTTCTTGTCAAGCACACCTGGGAGAACTTGGCTGTTGGTGCCCACTCCCCCTCTGGTTCTGATCCCACAGGAAGTCTTTGCTTTATTTCCATGGTTACTGTACATATTTGTGTATGGCTTGTCTTTCTGTCTTACTTTTTTCCCCCATGTGTAATAGCAAGTTTCACAAAGGCTTTCGGGGTATGTGGCTTCATCCCCACACGCTACATGGTAAAGGATGATGCGTTGTCGTTGTCGGTAATCTCGCTGGTCTGCCTGGAGATGTAGCCTTCTGAGAACATCCGGGCACACAGGAAGTTCGGCACCTTGCCCGGCACCTTGTTCTTCCTTCTCGCACACCACACATCCTTCATGATCTTCATGAAGTAGTTTCTGAATTTCTGTCCAATAAACGCATAGAGCACAGGGTTGAGGCAGCAGTGGAGGAAAGCCAGGACCTCAGCCACGTTCCTGGCGTAGGCGAGGAGTTTCTCACTGCTGCAGAGCCGGTTCATTTTGCCGGTGTTCACCGCGGTCACGAGAAGGACCACATTGTGAGGGATCTCACAAGCCAGGAACACAAGGACCACAGCGATCACCACGCGGATGGCTCTGTGCCTTTTAGAATTCTGGGCCTGCACCAAGGTCTTGATGATGAACAGATAGCAGAACACCATAAACAGCAACGGGATGAAGAAGCCGAAGAGCAGCTGGAGCCCCAGCCCCAGCAGCTTCCATTTTATGGGCTCCAAGACAGACTTGTACTGGGGCTCACAGACCTCGCTGCCCTGTAGCTTGTATTTCTTATTGAAGATAAATGTGGGGCTTGAGATGACGAACGAGATGAACCACACCGCCACGCAGATGATCTTACTGTAGGCCAGTGTCCTGGAGCGCACCCGGAAAGATTTGGTTGCCTGAACGATGGCGACGTACCGGTCCATGCTGATACAGGCCAGGAGCAGCATCCCGCAGTTAAAGTTGACTGCATAGATGCCTTTCATCAGTTTGCAGAGCACATCGCTAAAAACCCACGTGCCAGTGGCATGAGTAACTGCCCAGAACGGCAGAGTGAGGACAAAAAGTATGTCTGTAATGGCCATGTTCAGCAGGTAAACATCAGTCATGGACCTGGCCTTCTTGTAGAAGGCAAAGGTCATCACTACCATAAGATTGCCCAGAAGGCCAAAGACACATATTAAGGAGTAGGCAACTGGCACAAATACTTTGGTGAACTGTCTGACTTCTTCCAAGGAGCATGGCAAGTCGTCTGTAGGCACAGAATAGAAAACAGTGTCGGCATAATCTGTTCCATAGAAGGCCTCTGTGGAATTCATTGTTTCCTAGAAAACAGTAAAAATGGGAATAGTGACGGAACGCTCTCAAGCAACCCCTTCTAGCCAAGCTCACGCTCCCCGCCAACATAAAGCAGGCTCTCACCTCATGCATGATGGTTCCTGGTGTGGGTGGGAAATCTGGTGCAGAAAGCGAAGTGGGCAGTTCAGCCACACACTCACGAGCACAGACGCTAGGAGAGCAGAGGTGAAGCTATGGAGGAGAAAAGGCAAAATGTATTCAGTCAGGTTGTGCTCTGGAATATTCTACCCCATCAGAACACACTACCCCACATGCAGTTCGATGTGAAAATACCCACTTACAAGGGTTTCTGGTCTTTTCTGAGCAAAGCCAGAGAGCAAGCCATGTGGGCTCCGACTCAGTGGCTCAGGGAAGCTTTGGTGGCTCAGGAATAGCCATGAAGAATTGTAAATGGATGGGCCTGACCAGAGCTGGTTAGCTGTACGCTGTGATTTGCCAGTTTCTGATCTTTGGCTTAAAACAAGTCATATCAGGAAGAAAACAAAACTCACAGGTTTTGAAGTGTTCAAGAGCCTTTCTTTACCCAGAATTCCAGTTAATTGTATATAAGAAAATCTCACAGAACAGAATGTATAGATATCTAGATGTGGATAGAAACTCATGATCTGAGGACTGGAGAATTGGCTCAGTGGTTAAGAACACTCTTCTGGAGGACCTGGGTTTGATTACCAAACACACATAGTACCATGTCGAGAGGCCCACAGTTAGTTGTAACTCCAGTTCCAGGGGATGTGATGCCCTGTCTGGTCTCTGAAGGCACCTGTGTGCATGTGGCAAGAACGTACTAGGATTAACATCATGAGTAAACACAGTCCACATGGATAAAGCCGTTATGATTCTACCCTAGCAAGAAGACATAGAAACTGAAAGCTTGAAGCCAAGTGTGGAGGTGCATGCCTGTAACCTCAGCACTCAGAGTGCTGAGGCAGAAGGTTAGCCAGTTCAAAGCCAGTCTGAGATATATAGCAAAACTGTCTTGAAATATCAAAACAAACTGGGCATAGAGCCATACACCTGTAATCCCAGCACGCTAGAAGGCAGAGGCAGGCAGATCTCTGTGAGTTTGAGGCCGGCCTGGTCTACAGGAGTCCAGGATAGCCTACACAGGATAGTCTACACAGAAAAACTCTGTCTTGAAAAATTGAAAAAAAAAGAAAAAGAAAAATCAAAACCAATATCTAAAGATGAGAGATCATAAGGGAGGGAGGGAGGAAAAGAGGAAGGAAGAAAGAGAGAGATTTAAAAAAAAAAGAAACCACAAAATATTTGTGAGCAAGATTTCTATGCTGAAAATCTCAATAGCTGAGAGAGAAGAGGGTGTAGATTTAGGAGAGATGTCTAGCACAAGACTGAATGGTTCTTTATTCAAGCATTTCTCCACAAACTGATGAACTAGGTGAAAACTCTGGAGGGTTTTCTAAATAGAAGAATTGCTGACTGATTCTGATTGTACAATGAATTCAAGAGAGAGAGAGAGAGAACATGACCTCATCATGGGACTTAGGACATGAGTGTCAGGGTGGTGAGTGGACGAAGGCAGGGATAGGAATCCATGGGATGAACACAAAACACAGAGGCAAACCATGTCCCAGTACTCAGCTGATTTTTATTAAGGTAACTCCACAATGAAAAGCTATCTAGAATTAATGGTGCTGCTATAACTGGATATTGTGAAAAAAGTGGCCCCTCATCCCATCCCTCCCACCACAGGAAAAGTAAACTCAAATTGGTTGTAGCTCTAAATGCAAGAACAGAGAAAAACATCTAGAGAAAACATAAGAAATCTTTGTGACCTGAGGAATGGAACATTTTTCTCATACAAATTGCAAAAAGTAGGGGCTGGAGAGATGGCTCAGCAGTTAAGAGCACTAGCTACTCTTCCAGAGGACTCTGGTTCAATTCCCATCATTCACATGGCACTTCACAACTGTCTGTACCTCCAGTGCCAGGGGATCCAATACCCTCATACAGACATACACACAGGCAAAACACCAATGCACATAAAATACAAATAATTAAATAATTTTTACATGTCAAAAAACATATATTGTAAAGTAATAATAACAAATTGTGCTCAGTAAGAATTAAAAACTTCTGCTCTTTGCAAAAACAAAACAAAACAAAACAAAAACCCAAACAAACAAACAAACAAAAAAACTTCAGAAAATAAAAAAAAAATTGAATTGGAAAATAACATTTGTAAACCATATTTGGCCAAATCCAGAAGACACGAAGAAGTCCAACTACTCTGTACCTGAAAGGCAGTAGAGAAAAATCTGTAATGGTGAGTGTTCGTTGTTTAGGGAGGCCAGATCACAACCCCCATGCGATGCCCCTTCGAGGCCACAGAGATGGCCTTGGAAGGCAAGGGTGTCAGCAAAGACACGTAGGAGCCCCGGATGTGCTGGCTGGGTGGCGGGAGTGTGAGGTCACACAGCGCGTGGACAGAATGTGTGCACCTGGTTTGGCACTAGCTGTGCAGCGGCTGCACACACCAGTTCCGGGCTCCGGGCATTCACCCGGGCAGGAGGCAAAAACACTAACTTGAGTTTTTAGAGACGGTCCTTCTGATAGCTCCGAACTGAGAACCTAAAGGCCCCGGGGCAGCCGAGTGAATCAGTGTCTGCACGCAGTGGAAGAGCTGATGTGTGGTCTATCAAAACCCTGGACTGTCTGCTTCAATAACCGTGTGTGATTACACCCTGGTAACGCTAATTTTAAAAGGATTGGACATCCTTTTATGCAAATGTCCTTTCACTGACAGGTACTAATAGAGAAATCAAAGAGCGGCTACAGAAAGTGCATGGCCGGTAGCACTTGGGAAGAATTGGGGGCTGTAGGTGGCGGGAAGCACAGAAGGAGGTGCTGAAGGTTCAGGGTGCCTCAGAGGTCACCACGGGGCGGTGCTACTGGGGAGAGTCCTGTATCCATTCAGGAGACCAAAGCAGAGGAACAGTCAGTATGGTTCCTTAGCTGGAGGGGTTTGGGTAGAGATGGGACACAGTGATTTCTCCCCATGTGTTGGTGGGGAAAACTGCTGGAATTAAAGGCTATGAGGGTCAGCCGACCATACTGTATATTAATACACTAGCTAGACTCCCCCACATAAGAAAAATATTCATCCCCACTATGATAAGTCACATATTTTTTGCATCCAAGTAAAATCAGTTCAATAGAAGTTTTAGAGTCTCCTGAGAACGGGCACTGACCTATTGTCATAGAATGAAGGTGGGCCTGGGAGCCAGGAAGGTACCAGGCAGGCACAACTGCCCCAAACAATGTAATTCAGGTCTATACAGAAACCCATGCCAGCTCCTGTGGAAGGGATGGCCAGTGTCAGCCATGGCTGTTGCTCATGGTTGGAAGGATCTGGAATGGGTATGTGTCTTGCATTAGTTCCCCGGCCAGGCCAGAGGGCATCATTAGCAGAGGCAGACAACTGTTTGCACGATCATACCTTCATTTACTCTTACTGATGGCAATGGTGAAATAAATCTCTAGGACCCAAGATTTGTAAGTTGCACCTGTCCTGGGACAATGCTATAAGTGTGTTGGGCCTAACACCGTGAAACTCTGAAAAGCGATGATCTCCGCAGTGCTGTCGGTGAGAAGGTAACTGTTCAGTTTACTTGAATGCCAGACACTCCCGGTACCTGGAAATGAATCAGCCTGTCAAACCACTACTGTGACCACAAGAATGGTGCACGTAGTTGCTAGGAAATTGCACTGGTCACAGATTGGCATCTGGGCCACCACAACATAATAGAGTCCTGAACACAGTCTCTCCCGTTACCTCAATCCGAGCAGCAGTTACGGTCTATAAATTTTGTGTTAGGAGAATTTGTGTTTGATGATAAACACGTTGGTGAGTTCTTGATTAAATGTTTCTTTCTGTCCATTAAAGATCTGAGGGCAGGGGCTGGAAAGATGGCTCAGAGGTTAAGAGCACTGGCTGTTCTAAAAGTCTTGAGTTCAATTCCCAGAAACCACATGGGGTCTCACAACCATCTCTAATGAGATTTGGTGCCCTCTTCTGGCCTGCGGCAGAACACTGTATACTAACAAATAGACCGTCAATATACCAAAAAGAGAGCACTGGACATGTAGAGCCTTCGGTCTATGAACTGTGACCCTACAAGACAACAGCAGTCAAGCTACACACAACATTCTCTTTCACACATGCTCATTCACTGGGTCTTATTTTGGCCTGGAAAAAAAAATCGCATGCAAAACACACCATGTCATCGGATTTTCAATGTGCGCGATACGCTTATCCGTGGTGTTTAAATGTTCCCAAATCAGCAGTTCTTGAACAAGTATGTATAGAAATAGTCTAAAGAACAAACTGATATTAAAAGAATCTAAAAGAAAACTGCCTCAAGTCATTGTTTGGAGAAAGACTTTGGGGGCACAGTGTTGGCAATTGTATGAGGACATCTTTAGAAGCAACACTACCTTGCCTGATGCCAGCTGCCTTGAATGTCACTCTTTCTACCACCCTCTGTCTGCTTCTTGTTGGGCCCAGTGGGCCCTACATCAAAGTGCCTAACGCCCTGAAGGTGCTTCCTCCTCACCAAGTGTGTCTCCATGACACTTACTCCACCTTTAAAACATGAGAGAAAGCAGCTTCTCAGCTCCCGTTTTCTTCCCGTCCGCTCTTCCTAATCATTTTGCAGACACCCAGAGAATGTCGCTTTTGGCTGCCTACTCCATGAGGAGGCAAGGAAGGCAGAACTGCTGTCAACAGCCTTGCAACTTACGGCTTAGGAGATGGCTTAGCCAAGTGTTTGCCAGGACAAGAGTTTGGATCCCCGTGTAAATGCTAGATTGGCACAGCAGCTTACCTGTAATTTCAGCCTCTGAAGGTAGAGACAGAATCCCCCAGGGCAAACTGTCTGGTGACATTAACCATGCTACAGGCTCCCTTAAAGAGTAAGAGGGAATAGCGACTGAAGAAGATTCACGACATCAGCTTTGGGCACATAGAGGTGCCCACACATGTGATCACACATATGCACATGGTACGCATGAAAAAAAAATGGGATAAAAGTGTCACAGTTTATCTGTACATACAGAAAGGGCAAATGTCACCACTGAGGTATGGAGTTGGTACTCATCCTCATAGAAGATCACGAAGGAATCTCAGACGCCTGCCTTAGAATCTATGGACA